GTTATTGGGTTGTTCTCGCGTTCTCGCAAATCATATGGGTTCTCGTTTGAACCTTCACCTATATATATATATATATATATATATATATATATATATATATAAGGTTCAAACGAGAACATCTTTATTTTATGAGAACGCGAGAACACCATTTTACCATAAACAATCACATGTGTTATTATTATTCAATTACATATGATACTTATGTGATACTAAATCAGAGACGTGGATGACTTTTGACGCGATCTAGGTTGTTGTCCAAGTCGTATGTACACCACTAAACCCCCTCACATGTACTATCACATGTGATAAATGTGTTATTAATATGATACTATAATCCATCAAGATCATCGCATGTGATACTAAATCATAGACGCTGACGACCTTTGGTGCGACCTAAGTCGCAAGGCACGAATCTAGGTAAAACCCTGTAAAAAGCATCTTTCTTTATGTTCATTTGTAGATTTATATTCGGTTCATGTTCCACGAATCCAGGTAAGACCCTATAAAAAGCATGTAATTATGTTTTATGTTTGAGTTTTATTAATGTTGTAGTATGAACTAATCGGATGTATTTTTATCTTTTTATTTTCCATTAGATTGGGGGTGTTTGAGATTGCTTATTTAAAACAAGTTATGTTTTTTTTTGTAAATGTGTTTATCAACTTATGTGGTATTAAACTGGAGTTTTGTAAAAAGTGTTTTAGCTTATGGCGGTACCAAAACGTAATAAGTTAATAAGTTGTTTTTTAATGTTTGACAAATTTTGCTTATACATGTACAATGACCAAAAAGACATGAGAAAAGAAGGAACTGTTGTCGAAGGTCGCTTACGTGAGGAAGAACCCTAAAGCCTTTTCAGAAAGTAATCTTGAAGGAAGAACCCTAAACCTTTTTTGATTTTTGTAGGAATTGGTTGAAGGTTTCAATGGAAGGTTCGATTTTGATTTCTGTAGGTGAAAGTTTCGATCGATTTCTGTAGGTGAAGGTTTCAACTGAAAGTGCGATTTCGATCTCTGTCGGTGAAGGTCTCGACCGGTTTATGTTGATGGAGAAGATACCACAACAAGAAATCTGGTTCGATTTATGAGGAATGGTTGAAGGTCCCTTGATGAACTGGTTGCTTGAGGAAGGAGACGTATGAACCAGTTAAAGGAAGGAGGCGTATGAGGTTAAAAAAGTAATTTGGTTTCCAAACCTAGTTAGTTGAATCTGATAAGTTAAAAGCGAATAACTTATCAAAAAATCTTTATTACCGGTTTGGCACCGGTATAAGCATATTTCTTTTCCCTCCTGTCTAAACACTAAAAACTGCTTATTACCGATACCACACTTAAGTCAATAAGCAGTTTTCATAAGCAATCTCAAACACCCTCTGAGTTTTCTTTTATGTTTTTTATAGGAATATTGAAAATATTGTTTCATAAATCCTTATTTGAACGATGGTAGTTTTATATTATTGGTTTCATCGGATCTGTATAACCATGTCTCATTGAACAGAGTCCGACTCTTATACTATCTGTAATATCTCAGTCTAACCACACTAGATATTGTTTGTTTTGTTCACATTTGGACTCATGGTTTTAAAACGCGTCTGGTAGAGGATGATTCTAGTTCCTTATAAAACAACCTTATTCCCCTCCCCAACCGATGTGAGATCTTATATTTACAGATGATGATAAATATTTAGGTATATAACATTAAATGAGATTTTAATTAAAAGTTCGTTAATCAAACATTTACCAGGGTAGCGCCTACCTACAAGAGTAACCACTCTTATGTAACTTATCGGGTAGCAATCATGACCATCAAAATGGATAGTCGATAAGTGTCTTTTACCCGTTAAGCGCTCACAGTGTAAAAGTCTTTTTCCTCGCTTACCAGGTAAGGTAAAATTCTTGGTCTTTACTATGTTTGTTACACGATAAAATTTTCAATCTGTCATCCTCAACTAATAAGATAAATGACATCCGGTAAATGCTTGGTAAAACGACTTCTTAATCTATGTTCTTTTGATGGACATGATATTATTTTCTTTAACATATCCCGAATTTAATTAAAATCTCATTTAAAGTTATAGATAACTATTTTTTAGGAGTGACAAACTTTGAATCATGTGAGACAATGTTGTTTTCGTGAGACCCGCGTTACCATAAAAATAATCCCGAACCTTCACAATAGAACACGTGAAGGTAAACCTAGTTCTATGTTTTTCGTACCTTTATAGTGTTTTGCTGTGAAGTTTCAATGTTATTTTGGTTGAGATCCTGGGACATGTGATGGGATATCCCATCTGCCGACCATACTCAATAATTATGGTCATTATAAGGGTTGATTTCTTACAATCACAATTTATCGGGATTCGTCTACCAGCATGGGACACCTTTTCAGAAAAAAGTTTTATGTGTTACTTTTGTTTTCATAGGTCTCACGAAAACAGTATGATCTAACGTGAACCCCACTGGAGGGACACGAAGTAAAGAGTTAGTTGGTGTCTCATTCTACAAATACCGGATATCTAGAGTTCATCATTTGGAGCACCAACCAACTGATCTCATTTCTTCCCAAAATCATGCAACAAAACACCATGAATCCCTTCCTTTTTGATGCCAGCACCATCAATTACGTTCAATCTTCATTGTCTAATTTAATCTTAGCAGTCGGAAATACAAATACCTTCGATTCGATCTTCTCTCGCTGCTTATCATCGTCGTCATCATCATCATCATCTTCATCGCAATCGCCATCCTCTGTTTCTCCAGATCAATCAGGTTCTTCAGTTTATCTCAAACAAAGAGATCTTCTCCTCAAATTCTCCGAGAATTTCGATACAGTACGACAAATCACGAGAGAACCAGTTGGATTTTCGAAGAATTTGTATAGAGGAGTGCGGCAGCGACAGCGGGGGAAATGGGTGGCGGAGATCCGACTGCCGGAGAATAGGATGAGGGTTTGGTTGGGGACTTACGAGACGGCGGAGATGGCGGCATATGCTTACGATCGAGCTGCGTATAAGCTTCGTGGAGAATACGCTCGATTGAATTTCCCAAACCTAAAGGATCCGACCCGATTGGATGGGATCGGGAATGGTGAGAGGATAGATGCTTTGAAGACCGCCGTGGATAAGAAGATTCAGGCGATTCGTTTGAAGGTGAGAAGGGAGAAAGCTAAGAAGAGGGAGGAGAGAAAGAGGGATAAGGAGGTGGGTGATTCGCCGGCGGCGGCGTTATACGGTGGTGATCTTCCACCAGCGGCGGCGGTGGTGGCGGAGGCGGAGCTTGATAGTTGGTCACTGGCACGGATGCCGTCGTATGACCTGGATTTGATCTGGGAAGTGCTTGCTAATTAGGAACATTGAGGCTTTAAAATGTCAAATGTTGTGGTTAATATTGCAATTAGTGTTTTATATATAATTAGTCTTTTTTGGGTAATAATTTAATTAACGCTTAATATTTTCTTATGGGTAATTATGGATTTTTTGGGTTCGCATATACGCACCGACTAATCCTTATACGATCATGAATGACTTTCATGGACCATGGGTCACAAGGGTTTTGACAACGTCTAGATTTGAACCTGAAGTTGATGAGATTTTCGACTACATGCTCGTGAGCCTCCACTAGTGTGCCACAACCAAGTGGTTATAACACTTAGGGGTGTTTCGTTGGTTTTTTATTTTGTCTTATATGAATAAAACTGTATGTATATATTAATCTGTCTGTATAAATTATGAAGATTTTTGTTTGGGATGAATTTTTCATAAATAGAACGAGTGTTTTTTTAATTGGGAGGTGAATATTTGAAAAAGACATGGCTTTTTGCATAAAGCTCATTCCTAGAAGCTCACTAAATCACTCAGGTCCTATAATATATCTTTAAATAGAAAAAACCATTTTATTGCTTTGAAAAAAGAATAATAACTATTGTTTTAAAAAAACGTCATTGTGGGCAAAATGATATCATTTATCGGGTTTTCATAAAATGCTTCAAAAAATGTAGAAAGTTTCGTTACGGTGATACTTGCAAAAACATAACGAATTGGTCCAACCCAACTTGTTTTTTTGTCCGTTTTAAAAATCAACAATGATCCAGACGAAGACTCGTTATCCAGCCAACATATTCACAAATACGAGGCTTAGAAGGGAAAGGCCTCGTCAAGCTACACCACAAAACTCAACTTTATGGAAGGCTTATCGTATATAAATGTCTTGATCTTTCAATCTCGACCTCATATAAATTCCAGTATGTTCTTGCATGCGTCTCTTTCTTTTCCTCTATTGGTATACATCTTTATAGCAGTTAATCAATTACAGTATTTAAAAAAATGTTACTTTAATACAGATGTTAAACAATTTTTAAGGTTTGATCATCTCTGTATAGATCAAGACATTTCATTTTCATATTATACTTTTTACTTCACTTTTTAAGCATCCAATCAAATGATAATTTAGCTTTAAGAAAGGCAACTTCTAAGGAACCACTTAAATGGTTGTTTGATAGCATTAGGGGTTGTTTGTTTACCTTTTAATAGTTTTATTAAGATACAATCTCTAAATCGTTAAAAGGTGGATCTTATTTAACAAAAAAAAAATTGTTTCTTAATGGTTCTGAAACCTTCTGAATGATTTTGTATCATGAGTCTCCCTTAACTATTCAGCGTATTGATTTCATTGTAAACAATTATCAAACAACTATATTTTATTTTGCACTATATCATGAGAGTCTATTAATCATTCTGACCACTTTATCATTTGTATTAAACCATTAAGCAACTGCCAAACAACCCATAGGGTATCCACGGTTGAGGTTCCTTTTAGAGTTTTTAAAAGAAACTCCATAGTAGACCATATTTGTAACACACCAGTTACCGAACCACAATTAATGGATAGATCTAAAGCTAAATTTCAAGTTCAACCTCAATGAAATACGGGATACATGTATATATATATATATATATATATTTACCATCAAAAGATAAGTTTTAGATCAACATTTACATAAAAAAGGGCCGAAAGTATTCGTCGAAAAACATCAACCCTGAAAGAGTGAAAATTACTATCCAAAAGCATAAACTATCGTAAACCAAAATATGACGGTCCTTGATTCCAACACGAACTATCAGCGATCTACAACTTTCTCTTTAAAAGTTCTTGTCCAATCACAAAATATAGGTCCTTAAACAAGAACCCGAGTTTTTTTTACCTTCATTTCTTGTTATCATTTTATTTATTATTTATATTATTTCTTAATCATTTTATTTTATTTTAATAAATCTATAAAACATATAATTTAAAATTGATTAAAAAATCTAAATTAATTATTATAAAATAATTGTATTAATGTTGTTTTATTGTTTGTTTCCTTGTTTTATACAAGTTTTTACATTAGTAAATTTAATTTTTAATTATCTCATTATATTATTAAGTTGAGATTATTTTTCATATACTATTGAATTTATATTAATAAGTTTTAAAAAATTAAAATTTATATTAATAAGTTTAAATTAAAATTAATATAGAAAAATGAAATTAATAAATTATATTTGAATTTTAATATATATATATATATATATAATTTATATAATAACCTATAAAATAAAATTACATTTTATAAATTAAAAAATGGAAAGTGAGGTTTGATAAGTGAGGTTCTTGAAGGTTCGACCAGCGTAGATGCTATTATAATGATTCTCATTCATAGAATTTGATTGGTCGGTTTCTGGGTTCATCATGTTTGATTTCCATATTTTCACCTCTAAATGGAAAGTGCACCATTGATCCATTTCCAATTTTACATATTTCTATCGCATAAAAATAAGAGTTAAGGTGAGAAATATAAAAAAAGATTTGAACTATTGATCACTTTAATCTTAAACCAGTTCATGATTTGCACTTTAAACGAAATTTGATCCAGTGTTCTTTATCGCTGTTGATTTTGTGGAACTCTTCAATTAAGATAAGCTGATTGATCCAATGGAGAAAATCTTTTTTTATCGTTCTCATCATAACTCTCATTCTCATCGGAACCCAACGTTTTCCCCTTTCCCTTACTATTGCTTCAGGTCGATTTTCAATATAACAATGCTACCATTATCTGAACCAACGATCCCCCTCCCCTTTACCGTTGCTTCACTTTTGTTGTGATGTTGTTTTGCCTCATTTTGTTGATTCTCTTAGTCTGTACTCACTCTACGGCTTCGTTCAAATGCTTCATCTTCAATCCCGCTGCTACCTCTTTCTTCGCTTTGTATCAAACTCTAATTTTTTTTTATATGCTAAATATGTGATTACATGTATTTTCATGTAAAGTGTGTTAGTAGATTCATTTTTGTACATTTCATTTTTTACTAATTCATTTGTACATAAAAGTTGACAAACGTATATCTATTTAAAGTTTGTTAATAAAATTAATTTTGTGGGTTAGGTTCACGTGAGACCAATTTGTTTTTGTAAGATCAATGGGATCTTTTTTTTACACTCAAAACTTCACAACAAAATGTTGTGAAGGTAAAAAAAAGTCGAACCTTCACAGTAAAACAATATAAATGTAACATTCACAACGCCTTAATACGAAGTTTCAAGTGTAAAAATGTGGTCTCACGAAAAGATGATGGTCTCACGTGATCCCAAGTCTTAACTTTATACATTTTAATATGATTTACAGATTAGTTTCACTTATAAAATTGATCTTTTAAGGAACTCTTACTTTTTAAAAATATAAGCGTTAAAGCATAATGTACAAATCAATAATACTTACATAGTATTTTGATGTAAAGTTTCAAGTGTAAAAAAAATGATCCTACAGGTTTCACAAAAACAGACTGATCTCACGTAACCCCAAGTCTCTCTCTCTCTTTCTCTCTCTCTCTCTCTCTATATATATATATATATATACATACATACATATATATAAATATACATACACACCTTATTAATACGATTGAACTTTATAAAAAGAATTCATAACCAACTATTAAATATGTTTAAGTACAAGATAACCGTTAAACCTATTTATCTATACTATACTATAAAACATTTGACAAAAACTCTTAAAACCCATTTTTTATGCATGAAATACTGTTTATTGATGCATATTACATAAAATTCAAGATCACAAATAAATTGTATGTAAATACAACTTATTAAAGCTTCATGTTTGAATTTGTGTAACTAACTACAGATAAACATAATCTAAAATATAATTAAGATAACCATTTAATTCTAACAAAATACTTAATTATTATCTTTATAAAAAAAAATATTATTAAACCAAAAATAAAAAAATGAATTAAAGAAATACACAAAAAAAAAAAGAAACTTTAAATAGTTAGTTTTGTACTAATATATCAATATTATTTTTCACTTTTTTATAATATATCTTCATATTTACATTTTATTCAAAAAAAGATATTATCACTTTAGCAAAATCACATAAAACCGTATTATAACATCAACTGATACAAAAAAACGAAACATTAAAATCGATATGTATCTCGATATATTGTATGTGTATCCTTCTAGTAAATCTTAATAGAAGAGGTCAAGTGAAATCAAACAATTAAATATTTGTAAATTTAATAACTAAAGTAATTTTTAAGAAAAAGAATTTATAAAAAGTAAAATACCCATCATAAAGTAGAATCATTTAAATCAAATCCAATTAAAATACCATAAAAAACAATAATTATGTCATTCAAATTTAAAATTAAAAAAAAAAGTAAGAAAATTAAGAAGTATTTTATCAAATTCACTAATTTAGTTTTTTTTTTATAATTTTAAATATTAAGATTTAATTAATTGTACAACATGAGTAGTACATTAATAACTTATATTATACAGCTTTACACCCCTCTTAACCATCAATCCCTCCCCCTTGCGATGTCGACCCCCCATGCAACGTGGCCAACATCACCCCAAGTCTTTTAGTTTTGAATTTTAAGCAGAAATTAATAAAGCAGTGATTTTGGTTGAAATCTTTTACTTTTTTAGCTGTTTTTTTTTTCTGTTTTTTTAAATAAAGACGTCAAATATATGAGAAACATTTTCTCAAGTTACGAAGAGGTCAAAAATAAAAGTAAAAAAGATAAAGGAAATATTTATACTAATTTACAGATTTGGTTCCTATATTTAGGGGACGTTTACCAAATGCTTACATGTGTAACCGCTAATCAAGTCACATTACCTTACCAGATGAATACGACAAGCACCAAGAATCTTACTCTGTAAGAGCGAAGACAAGAACCGAGAGTCTTACCCGGTAAGTGATGACGACGATTCTTACCACGGTTGGCGCTTACCGAGTAAGTTATTACATATAATGTTGTTTTGTCGGACTCAAATCTTACCAGAAAAGTAAACGATAATGTTGAATTTTATCCGATAAACATTTACTAGGTAAGTGTTTTAATAAACAGCTTCTTAGACTAATTTATGGATTTTGAAATAATAAGACCCAATCATGAAGTGTAAAAAGGAATGGAAGGTAGAGGTGGAGATGGAGAAAGAGAGAGAGAGAGAGAGGCATGGGAAGGAAAAGGTGTAAAGGGAAAAGGTGGGTAGTTTGACTTTTGGATTTTCACATGGAGATGGAAGATGGACCACCACGATGTAACGCTACTCACCACCACCTTTTCAACAAACCCCATCACCATTCACCACCCTACTTTTTGAATTTAATGTTTCCTTATCCTCATGCCTCATCGCCATCTAACCCTTCAATTCTATATATAACGTGTCCAATATTCATAGTTAAAAAGAAAGGAAAATTGTATCAAAATGAAACTAATTTTTATTTAATTTTTATTTTGGGAACCAATTTTCAAAATCGTTATTTTGAGGAACTAACTTGCACATGATTCTTATTTTAGGGAACCAACTTTTAAAATCGTCATTTTGAGGAACCAATTTTTAAAATCGTCATTTTGGAAAGCCAACTTGCACCTGATTCCTATTTTGGGGAACTAATTTACATTCCTATTTTGGGGAACCAACTTGCACCCAAAATGATAATTTTAAAAGTTGGTTCCCCAAAATTATCATGCCTATTTATCCTTTATATGGCTCTCATTTGATTTAACTCCTAATTATACTATAATTTTTTTAACAACTAGAAAGTACATCTAATTCCACCAATTACTCTATTTAATAATTCTAACATTAATTATATAATTAAAATATTTAAGAAATTTATTATCTCAATACACTTGTATTTAACAATTAACATAGTTGTTGAAAATGCTCTCACAATTTTATTATCTCTATTTCTAATTCTAAAATTCAACGTAATATGCAATCACTCGATTCATATACTCATGTTTCATCAACACAGATGAATTAAAAAATATTTTACGTACAAAAATGAAAATTATAATACGATACAAGAAAAAAAAAAGTCTCATCTACTCTTCAAGCTAGGGTTTTAATTTTCAAACTTCTTAATGTCATTTGTCTCTACATTTTCGTGAAAGTTGAATCATGATACGTTCGTAGCTACCACGAACATGGGTTTTGAAAAATATCCATAAGGTTTGGTTTTAGATTTTGAAATCCAACATTGATACCATGTACATTGTCGAGATTCTTAAATTTATCATGTATCTGCTAGTTCTACCGATATAACATGTTTTACAAAATATTAGGTCCCTTCATGTATATAATTAATCATTTTCCTCATTGAATTTATAATAAGTGTATATTTATATTAATACTCAAAAAGGACAAGCGAAGTAAAACCATAGTTACACTTGGATTCAATTTTGATTCTCCTAGTCCTAACCCAAGAGTCATTTTGACTTATAACCATACGGGTGGTATTTGATTGGTTTGAGTTTGGCTTCAAAGATCAAAAGTACCAGGAGGTCTCAAGTTCAAATCCAAGGAGGAATAAAAATCCCCTCGTGGCCACGGATATTCAAATGCGGTGACTCCGAGCTATCTGCAAAACAAGTGGTCTCCCTGGGATGCGACTCGCATAACGGGTTGGATATCCATGTTAATAAAAAAAAAGTCATTTTTACTTTACATTTCTAGGGTTTTTTTCTACATCAAATACGCGTAATCATAACTTATTCGGTGCAAAAGATTTCCAACTTAACTTTTATGTAGAAAAAAACAAAAACCCTAAAAGAGACGTATAGTACACTAAAGTTATATTACAGTACAAAATTCACCAATACCTCTTAAACTACGTTAAAGAAATGTGATGAGACAGACAATCAACAACACGCATGAAAAGTGTAAACATGATAGACGCGTTTTCACGCATCAAAAGGAATGAATCAGTCTTTTAGGTAGGGGTATTCATGGTGCAGTTTGGTGTGGTATGAGGCTAAACCGCACCGCATATGCAGTTTGAACATTTTTCCAAACTGCAAACCGCACCGCATAAACTTCAAACCTTACCAAACTACACCGTAAAATACAGTGCGGTTTACCAAACAGCTTTTTCTTTAGGACTTATTAAAAAACCAACCAAACAACCCTAACACTTGTACATTGCTCCAAAACCTAATTTCAAACTCTTTACATTTAATATGTCAGCTTTAAAAAAAAGGATTGATGAAAAAAGGAGTGGAAGCAAATTTCTCCTGGAGAAGACCCATACCATCCTATGATAAAAGCAAAATGGAGACCACAACCACGCGTGGCAGTGGCCAGTGGCTGTGGCACTCTTCTGATTCACATTTCTTTAACTATTTATTCATTATGAATAAAAATAACTCTCACAATCTTTCTACCAACAAGAACTAAAAGGTTTCACTTTATTCACAACTAAAATTAAGGCCCATTGAGACACAAAATGTGAACCCAAAGATCTTCCTTTTTTAACTTAACATGATCCTATTGAATGAACAAAAAATGTAAAATCGTAAATTATTGGGTATTATCGAAATCACTCGTTATTGCGAAATATAATGGTTCTAAAAGCCGGGTATTTTTAAGGATTTTAGATATTAAGAGTCTGTTTGTTGGCGGCTTAATAAGTCTTGGGACCCGTTTACCAAACGCTTACCAAGTCACGTTACCTTGGCGGATGAATATGGCAAGAACCAAGAATCTTACCATGTAAGAGTGAAAACAAGGACCAAGAGTTTTAGCTGGCAAGTGAGGGCGACGACTCTTACCACAATTAGCACTAACCAGGTAAATCGTTGCATAGATATTGTTTTGGTGGACTAAAATCTTACCTGGTAAGCAAGTGATAGTGTTAATTTTGTCGGTAATCACTTATCAGGGTAAGTGTTTGGTAAACGGCCTCTTAGCTTATTCGGTCAGTTATACATAACTGTTTGGTAGTGACTTATTAATGATATAAAAAGTAGCTTATTCAATAAGATTCTAAGGAAAGCTTTATGCAAAAAGCCAAGTTTTTCCAAACCTATATCTCCCAATTAAAGAACACGCTCCTTTCATCTATGAGAAAACTCTCTCAATCTATATAGACAGATTAAATCACACAGACAACTTTATCCAAAATGTTCACTAAAAATAGTCTATTGGGTTTTTGTTCGCTTACTCATGTTTCATGGGCAAAAGGGTCATTCACATAAATTGTCTAAAGGTACCATGGAAAATCTTTAGCATTTGCAGCTATAAATAGACCAACAAGATACCAAATGAGCAGAGATTTCAAACCTGGAAATTTTCTTTGGTTCCCATTTCACACAAGAGTCAAAAGCTCCTCACTACTTGGCATATTCTTCCTGTTGTTCTGCAAAAAAAAGTCAATTTTAAAAGCTCTTTTGTTAGATTACCTACAGAAGTAGTCAATCTATTGAGAAGAGAAGAAACAATTCTCCTTTATAGAGGTGCTCTGTTTCCTCTGGTTTTTTTCTATCTCCTGTTCCTAATTATTCTTCTGCAAGAAATTGCCCATCATGCAACAAAACAATAGATACAGTTTTTATACAAACAATGATATTGGATCTTCTCTTTCTAATCTAATTTTAAGTGGTGGGAGTGGTAGCAATACCTTAGATTCAATATTCACTCAATGCCCATCATCATCAGTTACCTCTAACTCCCCCCATCAACCTCTAGGCTCTTCAGTTTACCTGAAACAGAGAGATTTGCTCCAGAAATTCTCCGAGCAAAACATGGGAAAGATCGGGAAATTGAGTTCAACGATAACAATCCCGACTAGGTACTCTGGGTATTCGGATTACTATATGAATCCCTACAAGAAGAAGCTTTACAGAGGAGTGAGGCAGAGGCATTGGGGTAAATGGGTGGCTGAGATCAGACTACCTCAGAACAGAATGAGGGTCTGGTTGGGGACTTATGAGACGGCTGAGGCTGCAGCTTATGCTTATGATCGAGCGGCTTATAAGCTACGAGGTGAATATGCACGGTTGAATTTCCCAAACCTCCAGGATTCAACTCAATTGGGGTTGATTGGAGATGGGCAGAGGCTGAATGCTCTTAAGAGTGCTGTTGATGCCAAGATTCAGGCTATTTGCCAGAAAGTGAGGAGAGAGAAAGCCAATAGGAAGAACAAGAAGAACAAGAAGAAGAATGACAGTGTTGGTAGTGATGAAGAAAGAGAAAAAGTGATGAAAACTGAATATTCATCTTCGATTTCGTGTGTTGGGAACGAATTGATATCACCAAGTATGTCTGAAGATGGGTTCTGGAAGGGAGAGAGTTCACGCTGTTCAGCCTCCGGTGAGTCAAAGGTGGCGGTAGGGGCGGTAACAGATGAGTCGGAGTTTGAAGGATGCTCTCTTGCTCGTCTGCCATCATATGATCCAGAGTTAATTTGGGAAGTTCTAGCAAACTGAGACTTAGTATCCATCCAAAAGAGGTTTTAACTATCTGCAGCAGTACCTGCATCAAATTTAATCATCCAAATTCTGATTTAAGCATGCACTAATTTTAGGTACTGTTTTCCAATTTTATGCAGGGGAATGCTGAAATGTCTTTCCCCATGTAAAATGCAGATTCATGATGAGCTAATATTACTAAGAATTGTTAAAGTTTCTTGAAAGAATTACTCTTTATCTTTACGGTTTTATGTTCATTTTATCAATTGAACGCATGTTTGTTTTTTTTACTTAACTCGGTTTAACGAGTTCAATGACTTACTATTTAGATCATTAAACAGTGTTTGTATTTGGCTCAAGTTTTAAGCGATGGCTGAAAATGGTTGAACTGCATAAAGCCACCAATTTACCTATACCAGCTGCCCACATCAAGCGATCTTATTTCAGACGTCTTGTGAGGAATAAACCAACGGTTTCTTAGAACCTTTTTTTGTTAGTATGAGCAGGAGAGAGGTAAGCCATACTTGGATGTTACTGCTCAAAATCTACTGATCGTACACTAAGGGCCTATTTGTCAGCAGCTTAATGAGCTTACTGAGGTTCACAGCTTATTCGGCCAGTTATAAATGACTATTTGGTAGTGGCTTATTAGGTGGAGCTTTATGCAGAAAGCCAAGTTTTATCCAAAACTTGTTCCTTCCAATTAAAAAACATGTCCCTTCCATCTATGAAAAACCCCTCCCAAACAAAAACCTTATCAATCTAAACAAACAGATTAATCTACAAAGACAACTTTATCTATACAAGTCTTAATAGAAAACCAACCAAACAGCCCCTAAGCTTTACAACAAAGAATTTAATCGTAACCAAGTTAATTACCAAAGGTGCATGAATGGGTCGTATGCAAAAGTTTCACATCCTCAAGTGTGATTTCTTGGCTAATAAAAGAAATATCATATCGAGAATATTCGAGATTATAACATATCTCTCAGAAGCGACTGATTAGTTACAATCTTATGGTGCCGTGCTTTAGCTACTTTGCAGAAGTGTGAGTACTTTGTACACTGTTGTTGCTAGTTTTCTTCTCCTTCAACCTCAGTCCTTCCACATGATCACCAGACCAGTAGCTATAGTCCCACCCAAGGTTAGCTTGGCATAGCGATAACTGAAGAAAGATGATGAAGATTATGTGAATCTTTATGTTGATTGTATCAAAAGTTACATTTTTTTACCTATTACTACCATACTTATGGGAAAAGAAGGATCCTAATTCGCAAAGAGCCTTTAACAAGAAAGCCGATCCCTGCTTGTTCAGGGTCACTCTTAGCCCGAACCCTTTTAGTGGCAGGTTGGGTCCCCTATACTTGAGAATGGGTAGGGTGTTGGGCAATGCTGAGCCATATATCTTGAGTTATCCTTTATACTCTTGAATATGCGGAAAATAACATATGATAACATACTGTGGTCCTAATTCCTTACAGGAATGTCTAATATCCACAAACAAGACTGATTTGGATTTTAAGAATTGCCTACCACATGTGTACAAATGCCAACAGATTTCCAGCTGTTATCGGTGGAAAGAATACCAAAAAGATTCCGCTTTCTAGCTAAGTCTAGAACAGCATATCAAATAGAAGTTTGTGCTGCAAAATGGAGGGAAGTAGAAGCCTCTACTGAGTACACATTTGGCATCTATCCTACCAAATAGATTATGTTGTTGGTTATTTTAGATGCATCAATCATTTTATTGTGATTGTGATTTACATGAGATCGATTAATTGATAAGACAAACATAAGTGAGTATAGGAGGTGCGGAGTGCACACTCATAAATTTCTCTTTATCACCTTAAATTGCCATAAGGCGGGGGTCAAGGCGGCCGCGTCCCCTTGTGGGGTTCTAGAGGCAGCCCCCCTAGCAGGGTCCAAGGTGGTTCGGACGGGTTCGAGTGGCAGCATCCTGAGGTTTATGGATTCTAAGAATAGTTAGACTTAGAGAACTTTAGTTTCGAATGATCTGGAAGAATCATGAATTTCAGAAGGTTGGAAACCTTCTTGAAATTGTTCCCAAAATTCATAGAAATTCGACTAAAGTCTCGATAAGAGATAGAGCAACCAGAGCTCTGGACTTTAGAGTCAGAACTCTGGACCTTAGAGTCAGAGCAGAGCTCTAGACCGTGGGTCCAGATTCTGAATGTTCATTCTGATTTTGATACCGTTGTAGTTGCTCCCAAATATCCATTAACAGTTATAAACGCTCGTAGCCGTCGTTCAGTCATATAAATATGTAAACGAGAATCTGGGTGTATATAAAAAATCAATCTCAGTCTTTGAGATGAGAGTTTCTCTTGGATTATCTCAATACGAAATTCGTGATACTCAAGGCTATAAGGGGACTAATTATTGTATTTGGAAAGTGAAATTTCACGATAGATTATTTCGGTCCACAAATCATCTCGAATCCCAATTCCTAACATATGCTAACAACCGTCAAAAACTAAAATCTGGCTACTGTCATTGTAAGTTTTGCCATTAAGAAACTGAAGGCATTCGTAACTTGTATGAAATGCTTCTATGTCATGAATTCATGATTATGAATAAGTTGATAGTGAAAGGGAAGTACAGTGGACATACATAATTATGCACATGCTTCGGCCTTCATGTAACATGCCTACGATCTCATTGACACACCTATGAAGCCTGTGTGCCTGATTTGAAGAAGAAACATAACAGATTACATATATTTTGTTCATTGCAGCTTTCGTGATGCATCTTCACATAAAAATTGCAGAGAATTTCGTGGCAGCAGTACCGCATAATGTTTTAAGTATTCAAAATTTACTTAAGAATCATTAGATATACTCGATCCCGCGTGTATGAGAAGCTCTTTCTACGTGCAAAGAACTTAATACGATCATTTGCCACATGAATGGATTCCATATGACATCAATTTGTGCATATAATCAATAGAAAAATAGGAAACCTCCCAACAAATTAATAAGATCACATAGTATATGTAGGCATAGTGAATCCACAAGGAGAGCGTCTTTTATTGAAATTACCGTAATACACTTTGCGGTCATTGGCATTGAATCCATCTTCACTCTGCTGTTGCAAGCCACTGAGTCTGAAACTGAACACATGGACTAAAACTATCGGAACCTAACCATTGAACATGAAAATTGAAACGTGCCGATAAGATGAACACATCGACGAACAGTACTGATGATGATACTTCATACTTGGCCATTGGACAGCACTAATGACGTGAAGCGACGACACCTGAGATCCTCCGCCTGAAACCTATCGCGGGGGAAACACCAAAGCGCTGGTGGCGATAAAATCTCGTGAAAGGTGGATTATGTATTTCTGTGCCATGAAAATGGCGGGAATAAGTGGGCCACCAGTCCGGTGAGGGTTAGGCCAATTCTCCGTAAACATAATGTATTGTACACCTAATAGGCTATAGCCCAAGCCCAACACTTGTACATAAAGTTGAAGTTTTAACTTTTAATCACTAAAAGGTACTCGTCTAATGCAGCGAAATAAATTTTCATTGTAATGTTTAGTTTTTATTCCGTCTCTATTAATATAATACGATTTCATATGGTTTTAAGAAAAACAATAATATTTTTATTTTTGAATGAAATATAAATTTGAAGATAACATAAAAATTTGAAAAAAATAAATCGATATTAGTATCAAATTAACTATTTAATAGTTCTCGTTTTTTTGTGTAACTTCTTTACAATTTTTATTATAATTTAATTTATATTTAATAACAAAGTAATTTGTTTTTGGTTTAATAATAGGGAAAAGTCTAAAAAAAACTCAATAGACTTTAGTGTTTGGAATGATTAAGTCATTGGACAATTTTTTTGGAACAAATAAGTCCTTAGACATTCCAAAACAGGTTAAATAACTTCTTGGACATTTTTTGGAACAAATAAGTCATTGGACATTCCAAAACATGTTAAATAACTTCTTCGACAATTTAAAACATGTTAAATAACTCATTGGATAATTTTTTGAAACAAATAAGTCCTTGGACAATCCAAAACATGTTAAATAACTCTTTGGACTTTTCTAAAACATGTTGAATACATTCTTATGATTTGTACAACTAGTTAATGTGGTAAAATAGTTAAAAAAATCCGAAAAAAAAACCCAATGAACATTAATCTTTTGAACGATTAAGTCTCTAAACATTTTTAAACCAAATATGATTTAGATCTATAAAATTAAACAAATATAACAAAAAAATACTTACATTTATAAAAAAAATTAAATTTAAAAAATATTTTTAATA